ATGCAAATGAATCTAAAATAATATTTCTAATATATGTTAATGCTGGGTATCTCTGGGTAGTGACATTACGGGTGAGATTAGATTTTGTAAATTCCAAATTTTTCTCAGGGAGTTAGGGTATTAGTTTTCTACTGATGCTATAAAGATTATCACAAATGTAGTGGTTTAAGTGATACATATTTATTACCTTACAGTTCTCTTGGTCTCCTGGGGCTGAGCTTGAGGTCTTAGCAGGACTGTATTCCTCTCTGGAGGCTCTAGGGGAGAATCTGTTTTTTTGCCTTTTCTTGCTCCTCCTGGCTGCCTGAATTCCTTGGCTCTCTTGGGATCCTTTCTCAATGTCCAAAGCCAGCAACAGAAGAGTGGGTTCTTTTTGAACCCTTTGTGTATGCTCAGATCTCTCTCTGACCCAGCCAGAAAGGTTTTCTGCTTTTAAGGACTCCTATGGTTTCACTGGGTCCACCAAGATCATCAGGATCATCATCTCTCCATGACAATGTTGATGACCGTGATCACACATGCAATATTTCCTTTGCCATGTCAGGCGAGGTGGGTTCTGGGGCTAAGCAATGGACGTATTTGGGGGTGGAGGAGAGGTTGTTTTGCTAACCATCTTTGGCGCTATTTTTAGAGCACACACATGCTCTTACATAAAAGGAAGAAGCTTATATTATTTTTATCTTCATCATCATTACCATTGTCTACATTTTTTATTAACTCCATCAGTCACCAGTTAAGTCTTTGGAAACAGTCTACTTTATAGCAAGGGTCTGCACAAGAGGACCCACAGGCAAAATCCAGCCTACCACCTGGCCTTGTCAATAACATTTTCTCAGAACTCGAATACTCTAATTTGTGCACTTGTTGTCCATGGCTGGGTTTTGTGCTCAACTTCAAAGCTGAGCAGTTGCAAGACAGACCACCGGGGCTATGGAGCCTAAGAGATTTGCAATCTGACCCTTATCAGCAAAAATTTGCTCATGTTGGCTTTAGAGCTTTAAATCATTGCTTCACTATGTCAGATTAAAACTAAAAATTGAGTCAGAGGAGATATTTTGCCTTAGAGCATGGTGGGGTTTCCAGGGTCATCATGGCCATCCTGCCTTTCACAGAGAAGATACTTGAGACCCGGGAGGTGAAGGGGCTCCCAGGGCCTTCTCCAAAGCCACATGTGCTGCCTGCAGAAAACCACTTGATCGAAGCTCCCTGGGTTTCACCTCTACCTTCTGTGTCAGCGTTTTTTAGCGGGTGATGATTCCCAGGAATGCACTGAAGCTGTCTCAAATTTTTGGGGAAAAATAAAAGCAAATAGAAAATGCAAAGATTTTACAAACAGGTGGGTTAGCTATGGCTACATATAACTCCATGTGAATGGTCCTGAAGCAGGGCTTAAGTCCTTGCAGACCAGGAAAGGAGGTTTTTTTTTTTTGTGATTTGTACCTGTGACTATAGATGGTGGCCATGCAGGTGGCAGAGCACAGAGGACCCTGGAGGCATGCCTTAGAAGACTCATTTTTCCAGCCTGTGAGTGCTAGCTGCCTGAGGGCCACCACGAGTGGCCAGTTCATCAGCAAGCAGAGTGACGTCACTGAGAAGGACCTCAGTCAAGTAATTTGTCCTTAGTTCCTGCTCTGTCAATATCGCTCTTTTCCGAACTGTGGCACTGGGTCAGCTGAACTGGCACAAGCTATCACTGATAATTTTTTTAAACAAAGAAAACAATATCCATAATTTCATTTCAGAGACTATAGCTGAAAACAAATTTGTAGACATTTACATACATGAACACATATGTTCTCCATGTTCCATTGTGATGATACCCTCTCATTTAATTTACCCCTTCCTGCTCAGTATTTAGGAATATAATATGTGCACTAATATAAATAGGCTGGGATGAGTGTCCTTGTCATTAAATCATTGCCCACGTCCACCATGGTGTCCTCGCCATGAGCTGATGGACGTGAGATTTTTAATTTTAGGAAGATGCACTTCTTCAGGTTTTTGTTACGTCGTCATGACAAAGTGCTCTGCTGAAGGGCACCTGCGCATGCCTCCTCTGGCTGGCTGAGTGCCTCTTAGAAGCAATGATAATGATGGCTTCCATCAGGTCAGATGGGGTCCTGGGTACTTCTACAAACATTATTTTACTTTCACTTCATAGGGATCTTGAAAAATTGACGTGGACTTTAAAGAGGGGGAAACTGAGTGATTTGCCCAAAGTTACTCTATTAGAGAACAGGAAGCTGAGCCTTGAGACTCGCACCACAAGAAGAGTGTCCGGAGGGTCACTTGAAGGCCTCATTGTCCCCAGGCATTCCCCCCCTCCACATCAGCTGTATTAAAATGTACACACACCCAACATAATTTATTCATAACATATGTAAGAGTTCATTTGCAGTTGCTTGGCTGACAAATAATGTGACATTGTGGACACATTTAAATATTTATTGATTTCAATTTTGTCGGGTGTGCAGTTGTTGGCCTGTTTGTCCTCAAATGCGTTTATCACTCCTCCCTGCTCTGCTGATACCTAGACCCCACGATTCCAGGTTCCCCTGCCAGCTGGTTCCTTGTTGGGTTTGGCCAGTGGGTGGCACAGGTGGGTGACTTAGGGGAGGAGGAAAAGAGAAGCAAGGGTGTTGTCCTCTCACTTGGGTACCGACTACACTTTCTCTGCAACTGCCTCTCACTGGTGGAGACTATCAGGATAGTCTCAGATGCCAACATATGGGCTGCTCCTGGATCTGGTGACTGGACTCTCCCTTTCTCACTCAGGCCTGGGCATGGAAGTGGGTTCCTACTGTCAATAATCTCTAAGTTGCTTCTGTCTCCTCTGCTGGTTTCTTAACATGTCCAATGTCTGTGGAACAAACTTGTTGCTTTTTGTTTTACAGGGGATTTTTTTTTTCTGTTCTATTTTGTTATGGTAGAGCCAATTTTCTCAAACAGTTACATAGCTTTGATAATTTTTAACACTTTGTAGATCCCACACATAGCTGTGGAAAGAATGTTTAATGATAAGCACTCTCTGAATGTCCTTCCTGAGGCAGGGTGGCAATAAGATGGACTGAGGAACACGGCATCCTTTCCATTTGCTCACCTACTTATCTGATTATCCTTCTGCTAGCCTATGCATCTACTCCATCTCCTCATCCACCCAGCCCTTTCACATTCATCTGTCTGTCTTCCCTAGCACTCAATCACTCACTTACTCATCTGTCTAGTCTCCATCTATCCACCCATCCATTCACTCATCCCCTCCACCTATCCACCAATTCCTATAGCTATCCTTTCTTCTATTCATTCATCCATGCATCCATTCACCCACCCATCTATTCGTATACTCACCCATCTTTTCATCTATCCATCCTTCCTTGTATTCACTCATTCATCCATTCACCTACCAACCAATTCAACCACCTATTCATCCATTCATCTGTTCATCTTTCCTTCTGTTCCTTCATCCATCCATCTATTCAAACAACCACCCATGTGTTCTTCTGTTCACTCATCCATTCACCCACCCATTCATCCATCCATAATTTTTTTCTATTCACTAAACCACCTACTTATTCATTTATCTACCCATCCTTCCTTCAATTCATCCACCTATCCATTCACCCATCCATTCATCCACTCACCCTTTCATTCATTCTTCCTTTTATTCAATAAGCTAGTGTTGCTCATATGCCAAGTACCAATTTGAAATCTAGGATAACAGAATAAATCATGCACTCTTTTACTCTGCAGAGGTTTGCAATCCAGTGGGAAAGATGGCCACGAAAGAGTCAACTACTTTAGAGGGTGGTAAGAGCCCTGTGGAGAGCCTGATACATAGTAGGTGCTCAGTAAAAACATGTATTGAATGAATGAGTGAACAAGTGCTGCCATGGGAATGGTAAAGGAATGTTTTGGGTAGTAAGAGTGGTGACTACTTATGTGTCTCAGAAAGGAGGGACAACATCACAGAAGAAGGGGCAATTTGAGCTGGTTGGGCACTCCCAGGAGGGAACCACATATGAAAGCATGGGAGAATGGGCAGCCCAGGGAGAAGAGATAATGTGTACAAAAGGAGGAGGTGTAGAAGAGCCACGTCATTTCAGTAACTAGAAATCTATAGAAATACACTCTTTCAAATGTAGGGGCTTTTGGGGTGTGTGTGTGTGTGTGTGTGTGTATACACATATATATACATATATATGTACATATATGTGTGTGTGTATATATATATATACACACACATATATATACTATAGATTATTTAACCAATCCTTATTTATAGATATTTATGTTGCTCCTAAAATTTCACTATTAAAATCATTAATGAATGCTATTGTATCTATATTTTTGCATCACTTAGCAATTATCTCCTTAGGATAAATTCTCGAGCATATGATTACTAGGCTAAAGGCATGCTTCTTATTTTTAAAAAAAGTTAATTTCAGTTGACAAACTGCCTTCCAGAAAGGAATACCAATTTACATTTCCAACAACAGTGCATGAGAATGTCAATTTTCCCACATCCTTGCTATTTTTGATTTTTGTCAAACATTTAATCCTTTCCAATATGATGGGTGAAAAAAAAAATGAGTCATTTTGATTTTTATTTAGCACTTTTGATTACTTATGAGGTAGAACATCTTTTTTAGTATGTATTGACTGCACATTTTGTTTTGCAATTTACCTCTTTGTGTTTACTGCTTAATTTTTTACTGCATACTGGTTTTTCTTTTGGCTTATGAAAGTTCATTTAAAATTTTTTATTTTTTTGGCAAATAAAGATTACTAAGCTTTTATCTGTAATACGTGTGGCAACTTTCTTTTTTTGCACTTTGCTGCTTCTAGTTTATGTATTTTGCAGTTCATGGCTTAGTTTCATTTTTAGGCAGTCAAATCTATTACACTTTTTCTTCATATAAAGTTTCTGTCTTCCTTAGAAAGCCTTTTTCCAGCACAATATTAGAAGTTAGTTAGTTACCCCTATTTCTTTATGGTTTTAGTTGGAAGAAGTGAACTCGAGATCCAACTTGGTCTTCAAATGGCCAGTGGATTACACCAACGCCCTTGCTACAACTCTCGTTCTGTGTTTTGAGATGTTACCTTTAGAATCCACTGAATGCCTGCCTGTATGTGGAACTGTGTAAGAACTCTCTTTTCCAGAGTTTCCAAAACATTGATATGTGTTGGCGAACCTTGTTTCTCACAGACCCCTTCTTAGAGCCTGAGTCAGTGGACCCAGATACAGGAACCTTCATTTTTAACAATCTGTCCATTGATTTCCTTCCATTAATCCAGTGGTTCTTAACTGTTGGCTGCTGGTTATAATAATCTAAAAAGCACTTACAAACTGTGAAGCCCAGGCCACACTCCATCTAGACCAATGAGATCAGCATCACTGAGAGAGGCCTGTGAATTTGTATTTTTCTTAAACTCTAGGGTGGCTCCAACCTACAATCAAAAGCACTGTTAACCTGTGAAATGCACTTCACCCTGTTTAATTACCACAGCTTTATTCTGTAATTTACTGATTGAAACAGCAAGCTTGTCGTTCTTTTCTTTTTTGTTTGTTCTGCTATTACTGTAGGTTTGGTTAATTTTGCAATTGTCGTTACAGCTTCTGATGTTTATTCTTGCAAGTAGACTTTATAATAATCAGTTTCCCAAAAAAAAATTCTTTCTTAGAATAGATTGAATGGATACATTGAAGTTTAGCTTCCTGAACTTGGGCAGATTTCTGAAAAATCCCTGATCTTCAGCTTCATCATCTATCAATCATCAATGTCAGTACTTGCCAGTACCCTAGATCCAACAGCATTGTCCCTGGGCCACCTGAGTTTCAGGGCTCCCTAGAGAGCTTCCAGGAAGAAACCATACCTCACAGAGAGGTTCTCTCTGCCCTTCAGCCCAGCTGGCAGCATGACCTTGGGCAGGGCGTGTACCTTAAGATCCCGCATTTGAAGAGAGAGGGACCTGGAATATAATGTTCCCAGAAATCTAATTTATCCCGGAAATAATGTTCACTCAGTCACTGAGGTAGCACTGGTTGTTGGCTAAGCCTGGAATGAGGCCTTGGAAGTTTTGAAAGCTTCCAGGTGAATCCATAACTGGGAACACACATTTGCATAATGTGCCTTTGAGTATTCTGTTCTTTGGATGATATCACTGCTGCACTCACCACAATGGACATGTGCTTGGAAGGAGGTGTCTTCTTAGGTGTGTGTCAGAGCTCAAATGTGTGTTCCTCTTGCTTCACTGTCTTTGACTGAGTATGTGCAGGTGCAGGCTGGGCTCAAGTGCCCCAGTAGAGCACAAGTCGATTCTAGTGCATGCAGTTTGGGTGGAGGGATGGAGGACCTTCCCAGGATGGGTCTCCAGCATCTTCCCCAGCTTCTCCAGCTGCCTGCCTTCCCTTCCTGACAGCTCTGGTGCAGAGGCTGCGGGCCAAGGATGCACTTCCTCCATGAGGGGCCCTTGAGCCTTCTTCCTTCCAGAGCTTTTGAATGTTCTCAGACATGTCCTGAGCAGAGCGTTGGCTGGGCTGACAGTTTTTACTTTGCTGTGTTAACTCAGAACTGGAAGTTTTCTAAGAAGCAGCCTCCTGATACATCAGGACTGCCCTTTCACATGGATGACCCATGGGCCAGATTCCTCTGGTGATGGCCAGAGGACCCACTCCAGGCTTTGGGGCACGTGAAAAATGTTTAAGGAAGGAATATGATCTGAGCTGAAACCAGATTGCTGTGGAGGTTAGGATAGATCAGGTGTAGACGTTGGAGGTGGGAAGAAGTGGGCTGCTGAGGGCAGACGGGGCAAGAGCATTGGTCCGGGTAAGAGATCCTGAGGTCTGGGTGAGGAAAAACAGTTAGGGGGGACTTGAGGTCACACAGTGAGTGACTCTGTAGAAGACAAACCCAATGGCCCTGGCCCAGCACAAGAACCTTGTGTCAAAGGGTCAGAGTAATAAGGACAACTTGAGAACATGGGCCTGTATTCTGGATTTTGATCATCTAATCTGGAGTCTTACCTCTTGGCTATGCCTTCTCCTCTTGGGGAGTCCCACCTCTGCCTGTGACCCTAAGGCCCTGCGGCCTGGGGCTCTCCCTTTGCAAGGGTCAGTGTGTGTCTCACTTTCAATCTTTTTTTTTTTTTTTGACAGAGCCTCGCTCTGTCACCCAGGCTGAAGTACAGTGACACAATCTTGGCTCACTGCAATGTCTGCGTCCCAGGTTCATGTGATTCTCCTGCCTCAGCCTCCCAAGTAACTGGGTTTACAGGTGAGCAACATGGACTTCACCATGTTGGACAGGCTGATCTCAAACTCTTGACCTCAAGTAATCCACCCACTTTGGCCTCCCAAAGTGCTGGGATTACAGGCATGAGCCATCACGCCTGGCCCCTCTGTCAATCTTGAGTCTCCATGCATATATTCTGAGGTTACACTCACAGACACTTTCAGGGGCCAGGAAGCTGACAAGCTAGGGAGTAAACACCCTATGAGAAAGTCACAGCCAGCCCTCAGGGAGGGCTTGACATGATGCCCGAAGACTCCAGCAGGTAAGCGGTGCTGAAAGGTGGGAACTTGACCCTGGCTTTTTCCCTGTGTGCCAAAAGAGCTGCTGTTTTACTGCTTCATGTGGCAGGGATATGGGGCAGACATCCTTGTCACCGGGGTGAGCCTGGCTGTAGCCCTGACCCTAAGTCCCATGGCTGGGGAGTACCTGCTCTGTGGGCAACACCTCGGCCCTCCTTGCATGGCTGAAGGCTGAGACCTGGGAGTGTGTTAGGAAGTCCATTGTGACCATGCACCCGTATTGTTTTCCACCACAGCTGCATCTGCACAGAGTTAATGTTTTGCCCAGATGCCCATTAATGAGCCTGAGCACCCACAGTTCAGTGCTAAAAGCATAGGTGCTCCCAGAGGCACTCTACCCCCAGGAGACTTGCCCTCAGGAGCTGCCTTGAACAGAGGCACAGGGAGATTGTGCTATCCTTCTTGCAGGCCATCTATAGCCCATGACAGTCAGAAATAAACGTGTGACGCTCACTCTGCCCCCACAACCCAGAGTAACCTGGGACTGTGCACCCTCCCTGAATTTCCAGTGCACTCAGGTTGAGGCTAGGATTCAGCTATGACCAGTCCTTGGCCTGACTCTTCTTTTGCTACAAACTGCACCTCTCACTGGCTTCTCCTAAGAGCACCTCCCTAATAAGTCATTAGCCCCAGAATCCCATCTTAAGCTGTGCTTCTGGGAAACTGGCCTAAGGCAAAGAGAGGAGCTTAAGATTACAATTTTCTCTGACTTCTGTATTTCCTAGCCCAGGACTTGTACTCAAATCTGCTCAAAAACTGAGTCTTCATGTGACTAGCTGACGTGTGACTACTGACCAGTGATGTCATGGAGAGAGAGGGAGTCCCGTCTCCTAGCTGAACCTGACCCTGTCTGGGCAGGCTATGAATGGACATAACTAAAGGCTGAACACTCACTGGAGCAGGGCATGGGACGTGGGAAATTCACATCCCCTCTGGTTCTCATTTTCAAGCACACGCAAGTGGGGAAAACGAAGCCACTGCTTTTCAGACTGAAATGCATGGGCGTTTAGTGATTCCTGAGAACTGCTACAGGTAAAGGCAACCCAGCTGCGTGCAAGTGTCTGACCCCAGAACTGCCTCGTCTCTGACTGTGGGCTTTGAGGAGATGGGTTAAGGGCAAACCTCAGGGAATCCCACCTGGCACGGAGTCGAGAAAGCATCTGGAGCTTGTTATACAGGAGTTGGCACGAGCTGGGCATCTCTCCAAGCTCAGGAGGTTTCATGGAAATTCCTAGATGAGAGATGTTTACAAGTTGTGTCCCCAGATAAACCACCATGTTTCCCCCCAAGAGGTCCCTCAAGGTCTCCATCGAAGCCAGCGTGCTGGGTCATAACAGCTGTAAGCAGAGATGCTTCTGACCTCACTGATGAGAAGAACGCTGACTGCCTAGCTTGTGTCATTAGGTGACTTTTAATGACGATAAACGTGTCTTCCTGCATTCTCCTTCAGCCTTCTCTACAAAATCGTTTTCCTACAGATTCGACGGACTGGTAACGCACTTTTACTATCCACAGTTGATTTAATAATCTTCTTTTTTGTGTGTGGTAGCTTGCTGAAGTCAAATAGGCTCTGACCAACAGGAAATACTTGATCACTCCTCTAAGAAAATGTCAGAGAAAGAGGAAATACCTGCACAGACACGGGTCATTTAAAAAAAAAAATGCACCTTTGCCATTTTGTTGACAAAAAGCAGATCACCTTGGCAAAGGACATTCTAGAATCTCTCCAGGAGAATGGAGTGCTTTTTTTTTTTTTTTTTTTTTTTTT